TTGTCTTAAAGTATTTCAGTCACATACTCAGACTGTTATAGTACAAAAAGCATTTTAGGAGGATAGGAGCAACATGATTAGCCTTATCCAATCCCCCCTCCCTCAAACAGTATGCTTAAATGTTTTTACAAATTATTCTCATCATTAGAGAGAGTTAATGCCATCTTATTACTCTGCTAGCAACCATGTAGCTTTCAAAACTTTCTGTCAATTCAGAACCACAAGCTGATTTGTCAGTTTTGAGACACTTCATAATAAATCTATTACAAACATCACCATACAAATAACGTACATGCTCTTAGTGAAAAACATTTCTCTCATTTCCTTTGGAATTTGGATAAAATAAAATAAAATAATAAAATAAAATAGTTCTCAATCACATTTCATCATTTTACAACTAAAAGCCAGAGCAAGTAACAAACAAAGATCTATTTACAAAGAGACTCTGTTACCATTCACAAGCAAAAGGTGGAAGTGAGAAGATTACTGACTGCTAGGAGACGTCACTCTTTAAAAGGCCAAGTTTAAGGTCTCAGTAGGTGGTGCTGCAGGTAGAACAGGAAACTATTACAGCTGATCAGTGACAGATGGAAATTTGTTCATATACAAGAGGTTCAGGAATACAGCTTATAAGGGATTAGTATGAATTTAAGTATCTGAAGTATACAAGCAGCAGAAGAAAAAAATGTTTGCTCCTCTGCACTATATTTCAGTTTCATCATCGGGAGAAATGAAATGAATGTCACATAAAACAACAAGACTAAGTACCAGAAAAATATCCTTATTAACAGAATATGTGCATAATGAAGTTATTACTGCTGGCAATTTTAGCAGTAGATAGCTAGTATATATCCATCTCTAGTATAATACAGCTACAGATGGTTAAATGAGTTTTACTTTCCATGTAATCTCTCCTACAAATAAAAGAACAGTTTAAGATGAGACATAACTTTGGCTGTTTCTGCCTGAACATGCACGGATTATTGTCAAAGAAAACCTCTCTTCACTTATGCACAGGGCATGTTTTCCTGATCCTCACGTGCTCTGGAAACAGGTATCAAAATAGGAAGTGAAATGATGACAGTAAATGGCGTCATTAATGCCAGACAAGAGTACGTTCCACCTACCAAAAGGTTTGCTATGCATGTACCCCTGAAATTCCAGAAAAGATTTGCTTGCAAGTATGATTCATTTACAAATATATTATAACTTTGAATACGGCTTTCTCTTACAGATCTAGAAAAACAAAGTGTTATCTACAGGAACCCTGTCTTTTAAACAAGCTAATACGGAAAACAGGACCTTCCAAAAGACACTTTTTCTCAGCGTGTCACATTGTCAGTGAGAAACAGTTACCAGGTCAGTATTCTGGTGCAACGGTGGGCACAGTCTAGACAATTTTTGACCTGTGTGATATTGTGCGACCTAGAGATAGATCTTAAATAGTAAATGCTCCTCAAAAACTCCATTTCATCCCTGTCCTCATCCTAGTAAATTAAAATAATAATTTTAGTTTTTACAAGGGAAAAGTGGAAGAGCTGACTGTGAATACAGCCTTACCTAAGCAGTTGCAGTTTCTAATGATTATGTTTGGAATTAATATGGAGAAATGTTTGTCATTGGAATCTGAAAACTGGAGTTTCATGAGCATTTGATTTGCTTGGAGACAGGAGACAAGGGCTACTCCAGTCACGAACTGTTTCACATCTTCATAACTGAATTTGAAAAATATGCTTAGTTCTTAAGAAGTATAAATTGACTGAAGTAATTTATGCTTTTATGCAGGTTTTTCTCCTCCAGTATACAAGCAATGGAAATAAACATAAAAAGAGCACAAAAGACCATTTTCAAAATTTGGTTTGTGAACATAAAAATAATGCTCTTTAAAAATCATTTCCTCCTCTCCTTTTTGCCCCCTTTTCCTTCTCTGTATAATGGAAAATCCACCAATGCAACCACTGGAACTGATCTTGTGTGTTAAGAGTTCCAGCTAATAACCCAAAGGAAAAATCCTCCTTCCTGCGGAAAAAGGATTGAGGCTCCTGGCTTCAGTTTAATACTTTATAGCTCCCTGAGGTGTTCAACTAGTCACTTCACTCCTTTGTAAATTTATACTGCGAAACAAAAGGAGATATTTATATGTAACTGTGGTATGTTTTTAGCACTGCAAGGGCTACTATAGGAAAAATCTTTATGATTTTATGACTTCAACCCCTTTCTCAAGGGAGAGATATTTCATGAAAATAATTCATTGTTTGAGCGCAGGGCAATAGCATTGTTAATTTGATAGAAAAGCATCATCAATAATTTAAGAACTTTATACTTACTCTGGTCAATCAGTAACAGGGAAATCACATTATGAGGGGGAACTGTGTAAGTGATTAATTCTAAATCTCACATACTTCTAGGCAGCACATGGAAAATTACAAGTATCTCCCCTGTAGTAAGAACTTAGCATCCTATCTACTGTGGAAAAATCTAGGGAAGTATACAAGAAAATTAGAGCAGGTTCTGCAGAGAGGCAGAATTTTAAACACTTTCACGTTAAATATTTTGAAGATGGGCTCATTAAATAAAAAAGAATAACTATATTTAACTAAACTATATTTTAAAAATGAGTTCTATTATTTAGAGAAATTTGCTTAAGCATTCACATCAACATCTTAACCTAAAAACAATGAATATATCCCATCGATTTAAAAACACAGAAGAATACTGCTTATCCAAATACCCCTCATATATAATGATCCTTCACAGACCTGAATTCCAGTATGTTACTCTCAGGCAATAGAACTGCTTTCTAACAAAAAATGTAATAGAGACCTTGAGTTTCAGTCAATAGAAAGCTCTTACAGCTTCATGTAAAAAAGCATCCTCAAAGAGGAATGACTTAAGTAAAATCCTAACGCCTAGAGGACTAAATTTCTGGAAAAACAACTCAGAATACAGTATAGGATCTTAATTTTGGTTAATATATCAAAGACAAAATGGGGATAATTCTTTGGGCAAGAAATAGATTTTTACTGAGAACATGATTACATTCTGATTCTTTTCATAGTGGAGAAAACAGCACTGGACTGGGATTGAAGGAACCTAGGTTTGAGTCCTGGCTCTGCCCTATTCTAATGCAAGAACTCAGAAGAATGACAACATTTCTCTGTCTCTCAGTTTCTCCATCTACAACATGCAGACTTCAAATATTTTTTTAAGCACTTTGAGATGGACTGCGAAAAACGACACCCAAGTATTGCATGTTGTTGCTGTCCTTATTTTAAAGTCATCTATCACTTGAAAGAATGGGAGACATGATGCCATGCTTAGGCCATGCAGCTGATTTTCAGACCTCTACTGACCTAAGGCTACGAAGATTAATAAGTAATACAATAATTATGGATGGTGGTTAAACAGCAATCCAGATTCCAAAGCCAAAATATACAGTTCTCTTTCATGTACATAAACTTGCCCCAAATTAAACAAACTGGCTTCAAAGGTCTACAAGACCAGAATTGTACTCTGTCACCTTTGCAGGTCACTTTATTTGAAAACACTGTCCTTGATGCGTTGAAGTTTACTGGGCTACATCCACATTGTTTGTTATTAAACATTAGGTCTGATTTCGTGGAAAAAAATATTCTTTTTCTGGAATCTTACACCCTGCACCAAGAGCTTTCAATTTACAGCTTTTCTGACACCATTTGAAACATAAGCCTATAAAAAGACTTAGCATAGTGTTTTCTAGTACAGTTTTCACGTCTTCTCTTCCTACCACAGCAATCAGAAGATACCATGGCCCTTAGTAAACTATACTAGGAGGTTTTCACTTGCCAAGCTTAGCTCTGTCATATTATTTGACTCAAGAGAATCCCAGCTAGCTGAGATGTTTTATGACAACACACACGATCATTTTTTGCATAGAGCAGTTTTGACTTTCTTTATTATAGTCATCACTGTAAAAACTCTATGCTCACACAGCAACTATCTACAAAAGGTTGATTAATGTCATGAGTCATGACCACTATGACAGGATAATGGTAAAGTGCAGCAGGAGCTAGTTAAATCTAGTAACAGCAAACGTATGTGCAATTCAAGAAAAAAAAAAATCAGTTGTTGAAGTACATGGATGCAGCTTAAAAAAAAATACTGGGAGAGAAAATCATAAGAGAGATTTACTTGTGGAAGATGTGGTAAATGAACCTAAACCCAAGACTTCCTGGTACACTTCTAAAATTACTCATTATAACATTCTCAGTTCAGTCACTATGAAGTTGCAAGGTGTACACTAGAGAGGGGTTGGTAAGGGCAACAAAAGGAACGGTCACACGTTACAAGGAAAGAATCTCAGACAGAAGGTAGTGAATTGACATATTTTAGTGGCCAGCGTTACTGTCATTGGTGCCCCTACCCTATGGGTTCCATCTTGCTGAACGGTAGCAGCAAACTGGAAGGCTCAGGCATAGTTATCATGTTTCAGAGCCATTTAGCTCCTCTACAACTCCACAGAGTGCAGGATGTTAAACGTTTTTTGGTTTTCTTTTTTCTATCAAGAGAAAAGGAAACACCTTAACAAAATGCAATGCTTTTCGTACGTCATGTAAACACGGCAGGTGAACATCTGAGATCTTTTCATAAAAATACTGCCCATACAGTTAACCAGTTCTAGATTTCCAACAGCTTGTCTGGATCAACACACCAAAATGTTTCAATTTTACCCTATTGGTAACTTTGGCAGAAATTAATCTTTTGAGCACAATATTTCTATTTTGGTATAATGTCACCAGCCAATGAAAAAAACACTTAACTAAAATTCTCCCAGTAAGCCCTGCTGTGAACTTAGAAATGTCATCTGGAGAAAATTAATTTAACCTTGTGTTATTCTGCAAAATGGTCATTTAAGTGCAACACAGAGGTTGCGTGTCAAATTTCTGACACTGAAGCCTTTGTACACTAATGGCTGTTTACACAGGTGAATCCTGTTGAGCTGCCAGATACTAATTACTCCACAACACATGAAAAGACATAGCGAGCACAAGCTCCTCGGTCTAAAAACCTACGGTACCGTGTTCCGGACTGAGGGACTGCAAGGTATCTCTTTCATTCGTCTTAGCAAACCTGGCTTTATCATGCAGTTATACCCTCTTTCATTTAAGCAAAGATGCTAACTGCTGTCTTCTACCTCTCTTCATGTTTTGATAATTCCTCTTTCTCTACCAGGCTGATTCACAGAAGTGCACTGTATTCCAGGAAAACACTGACTTACTGTATCCAGATTTGACTTTGTCTTGATTGTTTCAAATTCGTAATCTCTTCTAAAATGACACAAGCTTTTCAAGCATGACCACGATACAAGCTTTTCAGGCACGACCACAAATTAAATGAAAAATAAAGTCTGCTACAACTTGAAATACTTCATGCTTTTTAATTACCAGGTAAACAAAACATTTTGACCAAATTGTTCCAGTCTTGCTTGTTCGTGTGAATAAAGGAAGAAAGTAAAATTTACTTCCTATTTGTCATTACCCTTAAAATACAACGTGATCTTATCTTTATACTCCTTTCAGGAGGATGTGGCAGGATAACCCAGGATATACATGTAAGACAGCATCTCGCAAGTGGACAGGGAGGGCTGACGGCACATTGTTGCAAGAAAAGAGGAAAGGTGATTCTGTACGTGCTTTTTGACCAAAGTTTCCTACATCTCCTCACTTCCAGCAGAAACAGGTATTATTCGGTATCTGAAATGTGTAAAGAAAACCCTTTAATGATGCTTATACAGAGCCAAGGAAAAATATCATTATGGGCATACAATGTACCTTACCCTCAAATATGATATTCCCAGCTGTTTAGTAAGTCACTATTATTCTACGCTGTTTCTGTTTCCTTGGAAACACAATAAGAATGAACACAAAGTAGACCTCAGCATGAACTCTGGAAAGATACAAAGGTGACTTGTCCACGCACTCAACACGTGATCGCTGAGCTAGAATGTTTGGGTCTGGAGACACTGGCACAAAACTATGTTTACTCAGAATAAAAAAAGGTTAATAAAACTAATACACAACTTCCCAGCTCTTTGCCTGTGAACGATTACCTAAGATGCTCTCTTTTTAATAAACTGTGTTAGCCATTTTGAAAGATAAACTATTCCTGGCTATAAAACTTATTCTCTGCAGCATTTTCTCTCTCTTTGATTTGCAATGAAAGTATAGCCAAAGGGCTAGCTTCTAAAGCACCTGTTTCACCCATTTTAGGATTAAATAACTTGTTCCCTAAGGAGCAACTGTGTTTCTGAAGTCACTTATGGTCAGATTTTCATTCTCTTATTTCCTTGGGTGAGTCATCCCATTGACTTCAGTGGCAAAATCTATGTCTATCTGACATATGAATATGAGTACGAAGAGCTCAAACTAGCTTTCATTCCTTTATTTAATTGAAACATATATATGTATATATGTGTATTTTACTATTCTTGCATTTATCAACATAATACTGCGGGAAGAACTTAAATGAAATGCAGAGGACTATACATAAACTATTATGCTATAAAAAGGAGAAAATTTGCAACAATCCTGCCAACCGTTTCTTGTATTGAATCCAGTCTTGCAATCATGAGCCACCTACTGCATGACTACCAAATTGCTCACACATCTAGGAGAATAGTTAGCCAAGCACTTTATTTACTAGCATCACAGAAACTCTGCTTCAAACAGACTCCAATTGTGCTGAGACTGTAATAATATATATTCATTGCGATGCTTTTGAAAGAGTATCAAGTACAGCAGCCTTGAGTTTCTTTCTTTCAACCAAGCGCATCACACATCTAGACATCAGAGTTATTGGCTTCTTTACACTTTTTTGCCCATATAGGAAGGCCAGAAAGCTGATTTAAGCAATAGGCTAGAGAATTCCAGAGAATAGCATCTTGACTCTCCAGTTGGTAAGTGCCATTTCAGAGAATGGAAGGGCTTTTTGGGAGCTGTCTGGTTGTTGTGAGAGATCGCAGCAAATTATTTTAAGCTGAAACATGTTCTAAGTCTACCCCCTGATTTGCATCAACAGACATTTGTGGCTGTTACCAAAATGAGAGTAGGTAGACAAAGTTATGCAAATCCACTTTCTTAAGAATTCCTGCAGAATTCCTGCTGAATCATTGGATTCAGCTCGGTGTCTCTCCTTAGGTATATTTGGCCAAAGCGTAACTACCCAGAAACCTAGGCTCTGTGGTGTGCCAACACGTAGTGATTCGAGGGACTAGGTGCCACATTTTCTGATCTTCCTTGTACGAAAACAGTATAGGCAGAATATAGACTCACAAAAATATACATTTGCACTATTCTGAGAAATTGTAAACTTTGCATGAAAAGCACAGGCACAGCTCAGTTTTGACATTTTAAGTACTTAAAATGTTTCAAAGTAACATTCCCATATGAAAATAAGCTTTCTGAAGGATTTCGGTCATCTGACTCATTTGTATTGAAGGATCTGCATCTCTTCTTTCTGATAAGACTGGGAGCTGCAGGTGAATAAGAGAGATCACTTACTTGTTCACTTAAATATAGATTTCAGGATGTAAACCTAGGTACCATTTTTGACAAGTTCCTGCCTTCTTGGGATTAGCAGAACTATGTCCCGCTTTTCTTAGAATCTTACTGTTTTCAGAAAGAAAACACAAACAAGCACATTCTGGTTTCAGTCTTCAGACCAACTAGCATATCAAAAATGGCAAAACTATCCCGAGTATATTTATTTCACTGTCAAGAACCATTAGCACTTACATTTTTCTCAAGAACACTTGATAAAGCTAACCAGCTTATTGCTATGTAACGTCAGGAAAAAGGAATGTGTGCCCTCTATTGAGCAAAGAGTGTACAAGAACTATACACAGAATACTAAAGAGCACCATTACAGACTTTTTTTCTTTGGTCCAAAAGAGAAAAAGATAGCCTAAAGCTGGACTGGTAACTCGAGAGCAGCTCAAAAGGCAGGCTCCCTGTAAATACAGTGCAGGACAAGGAAAGTTCCAGAGTAGTAGATGAAATTAATGTTGCATCTATTCAGACAGCCATGTGTATAATTACTGCAAAGAAAAGCACCATGAGAAGAGTCACTGAGAACGCTGGAGCATGGTGATGGAGGTAGAAAAGGTTTCATATAGTTAGTTACTCATGGGATGGAAATGGGACTTCTAGAAAGCAGCAGTATCAGAATACAAACTTGGAGAACGTCTATATGTGATTGCGAGGCTCACAGCAGAAGGGAAACAAAATGAATTCTTTCAAATAAAAGGCTTAAAGCACGGTAGATTCAGGAAGCAATGCAATTATCAGAAGCAGGAACTTCAGGAGGCTATCTTCAAACAAATTTTTGAACTCGCTGGGATGTCCTTTCAAAGCATTTCTATTTCTTTTTTTACTGACTGATACTATTTGCTTCAATAGCATTTGCATGTTCTCTTTTCTCGCCAATAGCAAAGAATCCTGTCCTACATAACCAACGTTTGAAAGTCTGCTTGGACTTCGTCATAGGCTAGATTCCACACACTCAAGCCAGGACCTCAGTAAAATGCTTCCCTCTGATAAAAAGCATACCATCACGTGGTCAACACATGGGAATCACCCTAACTAGATTAGCAATACAGGAAAAGGGCTGTTAGGCAACACAAAGTACAAGAAAGTGGTGGGGAAATTAGGGAAGATCCTCTCTGTGGAGGTAGAGCAATAAATTGGCACACAGCACTGGTTATTTGGGACAGACAGGCATTAATTGCAATAGCAGTGCTAGACTATTAACATCTTTGCCCTTGTCCTTTCCTCATAGTTAAAGCTTGTTTGATAAAAGGCAAGGAATGCAGCAATGTTGACAAAGTCCCTCTAACAATATCAATACTCAATATGGAAAGGGAGATAAGTTGAGAACTTGCACATGTTTTGTCTACGGCAATCATGGCTGAAATACTAGTTCATGGCGCAACAGTTTGAATAAATAGGAGCTGGTATGCTAAATCCTAGTGTTGTTGGCTGATGAACACTGCTTGAGGTTTAAGGCGTGGCAACGTTTCTTTACAGATTCATTGGCACATACACAGTAAGCCTTATTACATCTCATTTACAGAAACTGGCACACCTTTATTTTTTTTTAAAAGAAGAAATGAATCACAAGAAGACAAGATGGGAGATGTCAAGTGTGAGGCATATATGTTTGAAGCTTATGAAAAAATAAATCAGAGTCAAAATCAGATCACTGTTTTTCAGCAACACACAGAGTGAAAAACTCACTGAAAAAAAAAAATTGAATCTGAGAAGAGAAAGAAAGATCAGGCTTTAAAAAAAAAGATTTGTTTGCAGGTTCCTCTACAAACCAGCTCCCCACCACAAACAACACACTACAGATAATTAAAATTTGTTGTATTTCTCATCCCTTTACTAGGATTTTGTGTGTTAACACACTATGTTACAGTACAGTAGAAACTTTCTCCACAGGTTTATCTGCTTCTAATTTCCTCTAGGCTGTATGCTAGCTTATCACCTGGGCACCTCACCTAAAGAACCCTCCAATCTCTTTATATACTAGTAACAATCCATTTGCAAAGAATGAGACAGAAAAATGCACTTGAAATTCTCGGGCAGAATCAACAGCTGATAATATGCTAAGTGTCAAGCAAGCACCAGGATAGTTAGTTTGACATCTGTGGGCTTTAAAGAGAAAGACTTTTATGTAGAACTTATGGACATTTTCTTTTTTGCCCTGAAAAGAAAAAGATGATGAAAATAATTCACATTCCAAATTAAGACAAAAATGAAGACCATTTGAAGTGTTTTCAGAGAGCAAATGAGGATAAGCATGAGAAACTGTCAACATAAGACTCAATAGTCCAATGATTCATGATCCCAGAAAAGTGGGAGAGCCAGGTTTAACTGCCTGCTGGGCCATTCTCCTTTATCCTAAGGGGATACCTCAGCAAACAGGTCTCAGTTTATTCTATGTAAGGTTTATATTAGTCTTTCCACCTGGTGCTTACCATTTTTGAATAACATTCAGTACAGCAAAGTTTAGGTCCCCCCCCCCCCGCCCTTTGTCTATAATTTTGGTCAAAAAATATCCAAAATATCCAAAATTCAAAAATGAAGTTTCTCATTCAAAAAATAAAACAATGAGAAATGTCTTCAGAAAATGTCTTATCATCTCCATTTTAGTGAAAAGGAATAATGAGATGAAGAAAAAAAAGTGAATTTTTTTCACCTTAAATGTATTGAAGACATATTGTTAATGTAATTCCCAAACTAACATTTTATTCATTTTAAATTCATGTGCTTATCAAGCAATTATGAAAATATTTGCATGAACCAGGGTTCAGAAGTTATGAGAAAAATCTGCATATCATACACCACAGCTGGTCTTTTTTCAGGTTTTGATAGATAAGTTTACAGAACAAGCTGCAGACTTATTTTTACCATCTAGTACTAAATAATCAAGGAATGAAAATATCACTTTGTGAAGCAGACTAGTCAGTAAGAATTGCCTGAAAAAACATTAGCTGGAAAAATCATTGTAAAATCCACAAAAATAAGGCAAGTGAGAGGTTAAAATACTAGAAAAAGCAAAAAAATAAAAACAAAAACAAAAAAAACTAGAGACACAGGTATATAAGGTATATGCTACTATTCAGGAGGAGAAGACAGAAGTAAAAAGACACATTTAGACCTTGAAAACCAAAAAGTAACCTTCATTGTTCTTCCTTAGAGCAAAATTAAGAGAGATTCAGGGAACAGATTTCCTAATTCTTGAGCAGAGAAAGACTTACGTTAACTGAGGGAAATCAGTCAAACAGTGACCAGACCAAACTGATAACAATGGAATTTGAAATTCCAGAACTATTAAGAGTTAAAGCAGCAGGTGGCCTTTACTCAAGAATTACAGATTTCTTTACTGAAGCACATTGCAATATCCAGAAAAACATTTTACTGCATGTGCAAAAGTAACCTGGAAAAATATTTTACTGCATGTGCAAAAGTAGCCTGACATACAAAAAAGCTGGTAAGAAAAATTCCAATTAACTTTCTTCAAGAAGCTGATATTTAGGTATTTTTGTTTACTGATATATAAGAAATTTACTGATACATATAATATTAATGAATTTATCATGATGATTTATATACATTTTTCTTTCTAGGCACTTAAAACATTAGATGAAATGTATGTATATTGCATAAAACTCTCTCATGGCTTTCATCGTAATTTTACTTGGAAGATTGTTTAGTTCTAGAAAGGAAATGTAGTATCATACAGGGCATCAATATGAAAATTCTTATTTCCATGCAAAAGTCTGTTCCTCTAATATTTCAGTGCTGCTATAGCTGTATGTTCAGAAAGCAAACCCTACTAGGATGCTTCTCCTTCCTAAAATTATTTTTTCTTTGACTAAAACATCAGCTGCAGGATGATAAGAAATTAAATACTAGAGTAGATATTTCTCCTTATCGCTCAGCTACAACATATGACAATAACGGCAAAAATATTCATCAAAAAATAAAAAAGGAATTACCCTTCACATTCGCTGTCATGCATATAGTTAGTACTTGCTAAAGGTAATACAAATTCTAGCTTCCTTTCTAATTCTTATTTGCCTTCATTTTTGTAATTACATTCTTTTGGGAGCTGAAGTTTTCCAAGACTGCCAGTAGCTCAAAGGTATACTAAAAAAAGAGCAACAATAAGAAAATTACACTTTGGGCAGTATAACTTTACCTGGCCTATACAAATATATACACAAAACCATACTGTCTATCTTCTATATGATCCCAGTCAAAACTCTGCTCTCTAAAAACACCTGAATATGAGAACCTCAAATGAAGTATGTGACCTAGCCAAACTTGCTAAAAATCAGGTTCAAAGGTTTAGAAATGATGAATTCCTGAGGCTGGGAATTTCATAAATTTATATTCTTTTGATTTTTTTCAAGCTGCCTTTATTTGTAAATGTCACTATATGGTGACATTTCCATATCTTATGGAAAAATACCAGTTACTGGGCATTAGAGCTTTCATAAATATTAAATCATCCAATCTGATTTGTTAATTAATAACATAAGTTGTTGTATCCTATTTTTCTTACCAATAGAAAAACAAGGTGGGACTGCTTCTGAGAATTCAAGGTGAAGGCTGACTTAAAACAGGTAAAAACTAAAAGCAGGTGAGATTAAGGAGAAATGCATACACTGCACCGCAGTCCACTGCTAAACTTAATGTTAAAAATTGAGTCAAAGTATAATAATGATAAATGCACATTCTTCAAAGGAGTCTAACACAAGGATTCTTGCAATATCAACAATCTAGGCCATTATGCCCTCACACCGTTAGTACAGCAGTGTGCACAAATACTGGCTTGTGTATGGAAGCAGAATAGCTTCATCAGATCTAGATGGAAATAAATAAGCCATGCCTCTGAGCAGAGCTAATTAGATTGAGCTGAATGCTACACTAACATAGCTGTCTAGTTCCAAGTCTCAAACAGGTTCAATTAGTGGTTACTTGGAGCTCTCTGCACTGTATTTTGTTGTAATGCACAGCATAAAGGGCCTACTGTACAGATTTAGAAACGGCCTATTACCAGCCTCTCAAAGAGAAAGTTAAGATGAGACTTGCTCACATGCTATAAAATTTTACAAGGAGAGAATATTACTAAATTGAGAATGCTTATTACTACATCAAAACTATAACAATATCCAATTCCATAAAACTGCAAGAAGACACAAGAAAGTGAAAATAAAGCTCAGAAATTAACTGTGAAGACTAACTGTACTGGAGGTCCTCTGACATATCTCAAACGGAGTTTCTGGCTTAGGTTGCATATTCTACTTGTCCTTGTATTTTGAGGGAAGGGAGGAGAGCTTACATATCTGTGCAGTTGAGATAAAACGATTCTGTTAAACCATATTCATCTGGAACAACATACTGTGATGTTATTTAGGTAACTGGCATCATATCTGGTCATTCAAAGAACTTAATGAACAAAATCTATATGTTCAATATTTTAAAACTTGTTCATGTCTCAACCACAAGCAGCAGGTTAATAAATGAAGAGAAAACTCTGATGGCTCAGTACTAAAATATATAAAAAATACTTGACACTGTAGAGCTTTTATTTTGCCTAACCTACTAGCTCCTAAAAAAAAGAACCTAAAGATATCACTTCTGTTAAAAACATTTCCTTCCCTCATATGTTTTCCTTTCAGCATATGTGATAGCCAACAGGAAGAAATTTATGCAAAGAGAAATCACAGAAACGTAGACAATTCAGGGGGAAGATGACTGATCCGCTCTCTTCACACTGCTACTGCTTATTAATTTCAAACTTCCTGCTCTGATGAGTTTCCGTTCTCCTCAAAACACCAAGCTCCTATCCTACTGATACTTGATGCAGTACTTCAATTTAAACAATGTTCTGTCAAAAACTTCTCTTATAAGAGCTTATTATGTATTTGGTTCATACGTGAACTGTGCATACCGCATTCATCTTCACAATTACTGCAGTCCAATTGGGCAATTCAAATTAGAAGTCTTGCTTACCATGAGACAAAGCTTTTTTGGACCTGAACGATGTCCTGCTGTGATGTTTCTTGGGAAAAGAGAAGATGAGTAGCTCATGTTCACCACCACAGAGAAGGAATTTATACGGAGTATATTCAAAGGACTTCCACAATATGAAAAAATAAGGAGAGTACACCGCATGATAAAAACTGGTGTCCGTGATCTGGAGAGTTTACAGGGTGGACAGGGAGGACATAAGGACTTAATGAGCTTAGCTAAAGCAAAGAAGTTTTTGCTGGAATTAGTATGGAGAATAACAAGAGTCACAGGGAGATATTAAAGTGAGACACACTTTTCTGAGAGAGCAGAATAAACGTAAAATGAAAGGATCCAGTATTTTCTCAGAGCTAAGGGCTAGAAAGTCAGAGGTCATGGATGGTAATGATAATTACAGGAGTGAAGCAGGCTTAGACAGGGAAATTGCCAAATAAAGAAGGAAGGAAGAAATGATCCAAATACACATTCTCACAATATCAGGGGTGAGAAATGGAAGAGGATGGTGTGGAGATGGACATTAAGAGCTGGAGCATAAGCTTCAGCTTAAGCATAAGCTAGTCAAGATTTAAGAAAGAAAGAAGGAAAAGGAAAAATTTTAGCAAATACTGTGCAAGGAGACGTGCTGGTATCCCTGCTTAAGAGACGGATTTTTTTTCTAGGATAATTCTAGGACTCGAGGAAAATGGAGTAAACACCTTATAATTCTGGGAGACTTACAAGAGGCTAAGTAACTAGATTAAGCATAGCGTACGCAATTAGAATCTTAAGAGAAATAGGTGATAACATTAATTCAACGTAAATCCATCTTTGAATATATCTACATTTTTTAATACCTGACAATAAAACAGTTGGCATTACACAAACGAGAAGGAAACACAGTCTCCTGAACAGGCAAGATTTTAGGAATAATTTGAAGAAAAAACATGAAGGCACTAGAAAGGCCTAACCAGCAAGCTCCCACATAGGAAAATGCTGGTATACAAAAGGTTTAATAAAAAAAATGTATTTAAAAACACACTCACTCTGTACTCTGTCATTTTGTGTAGCATCTTTTTTGTGGTAAGTTGCACTAGTGACTCTGTTTTCAGACTGGTCTTCTAGTCTATTTCAGCTCGTCTTGTCTTGCTTGTCTAGTCAAGCTAGTTTAGTCTCTCTGTCTCTTGCTCTCTCACTAGATATATCTATGTATATATGTAGGTATATATGTAAATATATCTATGCATATAGGTAGGTCACACTTTTAAAATATGGACAGTAAAATCGCCATTTATATATAATAAACACAACAATACCTGAGGTACCGTTGACAAATGATATTACTATCTCATTGGAAATTCACAAAACATCCTTAATATAAGATTTAATGTCAATATACTGCAGTCAGATTTGTCCAGTTTTAAATTAGATTCCAGAGCTAGATTCTCCCATATTGAGATACTTATTCCCAAGTAGCCATGATGAAATAAATGAATCTACTCAAAGAATAACTTACAGTAAGTGGAAAAGTGATAGAAATTGGCTTATATTTCCTCTCTTCCGTAACATAAAGCTTCGATCAGATGAGAACTACTTCTTAGGAGTCATAATTCAAAGAATTTATCAAAGTACTGTAAAATTATAAAGTTTGAGTAAAAATATTTCAGTAATATCATCCTTACCAAGCTATAATCAAGCTAATCAAAGCTAATCAAATAAAATGATTACAACTACAAAGACTTAATAGTGTTAGACACAAAAGACTTTTTTTCTACAATCCTAGAATATTTAAATTCTAGCTGTCCAACACAAAGGGAAGAACAGCGATGCTAACTGTACCACAGTTTTCTTCTTCCTTCTCTATTATCTACCCAGTATAAAAGATGCATTCACAATTACAAAACACAGAAATACCTGGTTGCCCTGTTTCTCGTATTGGGATTGCAACTACTTCTGCAATGGGTCAGTTGCGAAACTCAGTACTGTTTAATGGGACACTTTCAGCAAGACAGGAAATTGTCATCTAGATATTAAGGCTCATAGAACAAATAAACACCACCTTAACTGATAAAGCTTAAATTTTTTCCAGTCTATTAGTATATCACCCCAAAACTACCTATTCTTCACCTTCCCCAAGGACGTAGGATCCCAAATTCACTATTCAAATAAAAAAATTTCCCAATTCTTAGAACAGTGGGAACTAGAATACTGCATGAATGGAAAAATACAAGATTGCAAAACTCCCCATGGTAATCCTTTAATGAAGGTTTTAAACTAACATGAACCCATTAAATAATGTCACATTTAATGAGTACTTAAATAATATCATTAATAATGCAGTAATTGGACCTCTTTACAAAAAGAAAATCTATTTAACACTGTCATCATTTCCGGCAATACAAGTTACTGAATAGTGCCTTGTTCGTAGTTGTTATTATTTTTTAAACATAAATAAGCCAGAAATAATGAGTGAGAGCAACTTTTCCGGGAACTGCAGCCCAACCATTTAATTTCTCTTCTTAAAAAAATATTACTGTCTATGTGTAATTATATCAGGTGGGGATATAAAATTACTATTGTGCTTGTGGTGTCTTGGAACCTTCTGCAACTTGGCCGACCTACTCAAGCAGGAATTACACTGTCTGGAATTTCACAGCAATTAATCACTCCAAAGAAATAATCTACAATGAGTTTTTGCTATGAATGTATTCACTTTCAAATATGACCTAGACAATATATTTTTCCTGTATTATGCAACATATTAACAAAATTAATTTTAGCATACGTAATCTGATTTTTTTAAAAAATCCGATAGTTTAAGAATTAATGTATTTCACACAAAGATAGGACAATAGCACATATATTGTATGCTGTTTACATATATAGATCAATGTCAAACCAACCAAAATTAATGTTTTAGTTTTGTTCAGTCAACAGAAAGGAATTATTTTGATAATTATAAACACATGCTTTTTAAAATAATGATTTGAAAAAAAATCTAAATGTGAAATATTTCTGAATTTGTAACAGTTCTATATTGCCTTTTCTCAATAGATGAAATCATGATTTAATGATGGAAGACTGGACAGTTAAAATACACATACATTGACATCCATCAAGTCCTCTCCCCAAACTAATAACTTTCAGGTAGTCTAGTAACAAACCTTTTACCAGAGACACTTCTTGACATCTGTAATTTCAGTTCTGATGTTCTGCCTAGCAACTACTAATGAGAGATTTATATGAATGATCAAAGAGCATTACACCATCTTTAGTTGCCCATATAAGAAAAAATACAGTTGGACTTTTGATTGCCTATGTCACTATCTACGCAAAAATAAACACTTTATGAGGTTTCCCTTTCTATAACTGTCTACACATAGTTTTCGTTTTATGGAATTTTAGAAGCTACCTTACCGTCCTCACCTATGTTCTGCAAGTTATATTAAAAAAGCAAAATATCTGTTCTTTCAGTTGGACAACTTTGTGACTAGCGCTCATAGAAACAAGCAATATAAAGCAGGTATGTGCTTTGACACATTAAATATTAATTAGGTCTTGCTTTACTTTGATACTAGCATCACAAAACAAGATACCGCTAAAGACATGTGGAGAAACTCACAAAGACTAAATTCAACTAGTGAACACAATCTCTATGGACAAGAAAGAGTAATAGACTTCCTCATGAAGTAGTTAAAGCAGGAGCCTAAGCTGACTGCTCTGATTCTCTCACCACATGAAGGAAGCATGGGGAGGTTGGGCTTTTACTGAACTAAAGTCAGCCTTTGTGAATAGCCCTTAAACCATTCGGAACAATTTCTGAATAGCTAAAAATTTTATGACATTCTGACAAGTCACATGAAGCTCTATCTTTACCTAGCAAACATACCTAGAAGGAGTGGGGAAGAAAGTCTATGCTAACACTGTCTTCCATTTTGTTAGTCTAAGACTCATAGGATATAGATTTTCATCCGCAATGAAATTTGTACCTAATTATGGGGAAAATAATTTTGTTCTCAATTCATATTTTAGTCTACAGAACTTGCATGCATAGAGGAACTTCATATTCACAACTAAAAGTTATAACTGTAATAAAACAAGCACTGAAAAATCTAGGCTGAAAGACAAAAATTCATCTGGAACAGAGCTAAACAGAAGGTTATTTAAAACCCTAAAAAGAACATGCCAGGACGTGTTATTACTTACTAACCACACTAATAACTTTTTTTGTTATTTATAACAAAGATTTGCAAAAGAAAATGTTGGTCTATGAGCAATTACTGATGCAGAATCTGAATGCAAAGGTGGACCCTAAGAACTTCAGCACTATAATGCGTCAGATACAGCATGGCAGTCACATGTAAACTGAAGCAGGGTGTAAATCAAACAGAACTGATTGACTGTTGGGCTGGATTGCTTCCTTTTTTCTAGTTTCTCACAAAACTGTTTGGATTCTACTTCCCCTTTAGCTCAGGACCGAGGCCAATTCTAACAGTAGCCTCAATTCTCCTGTACACGCTTGTATTTATCAAAAATCATTTCTGTTGTTATTCTTGATCCTATTAATAACTTCAGCACAATGTGTAAAGCACATGATCTTTTCTTTTTGTTTGTTTGCTTTTAGAAGTTTTTTTTTTTTTTTTTAATAAAAGGACTATTTTTCCTGTACCATGACACACCACTTTTTGTTCGCTTATTTTCTCTGTAAAATACAACAAAATATTTGGATCATAATATGCTCACAGAAGTTTGATATGGATGAGCTAACTATCAAACGTATCCTTATTTCACATAAAGCAGGACAGCACTAATAGGAATTAATTTTAAACTACACTGCTTGATCTACTTCACTATTCTGAATCAAAGTTAAGCTTGAAAGGAACAGGCAGTCAGGTCTATATAGACCACCTGGAGAAGAAACAGATAAGAAAAGAAAATGAAGGTGAAGACTGCGCTTCTAAAGGAACAGCGAAAATCTGACCAGCAATCTCACAAATTCTGTGAGATCTGCAGTATTCGTATTTTACGTCAAACCTGCTGTACAAGAACCTCTAACACAGTACTTCAGTGGTTCAGTCTTCGTCGGGAAATGATGACAGTGCATATGAACATTTACGTGCAGACAAACAGATGCATATGCACAATTATTGAGGGCAGCTTACATTACAGTGTGTGAGAGAGTGTGGATCGGTTATTTTACTTGAATTGCTTTAAAACAACTTAGGAAACAACACGAAAAAGTTAAAGTATTTAGTAACTATGTATGCTTTTATATTACATAAAAATTTTAAGTTAGAAACACATCTCAGAAATTAAAATAATTCAGATTGCATCTTTTTCCCATATCGCTCAAAATGATGTATCATATGATACAATACCTATATTTAAACTTTTGAGATTAACTAAAAAAATGTTTTCTAAAAGTCTGGGGTAGCACTATGTTCTGCAGAGCTAAGCAGTCAGAGGAATCTTAACTCACGCCACCAAGTGTAATCACTAAATGTAGCATTTTGAAAAACAAACCATGGGTGGAATTATCAAAAGTATTTAGAGTGCTTTTTAAATTTTATTCATAGAATGAAAAAAACCCACTACTCTTTATATATTTTCTCATTTGCACTGGGAGCTTTGAGGAGGGAGCTGGACTAGATGACCTACAGAGGTCCCTTCTAACCACCATTGTTCTGCTATGATAGAAGATACAGGAATTTACTGGTCATCTATTAATGACGAGTGAATTTATATCACGAGGCACATCTACTTAGCAGCTATACTTAGGAGTCAAACTCTCTCTTTATTCAAGGCTCTCCTCAAATCATCCCAAATATTACAGTCTACCGGACCTAATGACTATATGACAGAAGGGATTTCAATGGACAGATTTCCTGTTGGAACAAAAATCAGCAAAAATACAGAAAGATAAGCAGCTGCCCACTGACAAGAAAATCATAAGGAGTCAGTGATTTCAGCGT